TCCGATTTGGCCCGTATAATTGTATAAATAAAATTATAAAAATATAGAATTTTTCATATTTATAGCAAAAAATATTTTTTTTTTTTTTTGTCAATGAATTTGGGGTGAAGAATTTAAAAGGATTTTGAAAGGAATTAAATAAAATAATAAAGTTTTGGGGATGAAAACGAAGTGGGTTGGGGTGAAATATAAAGTTTTAAAAGTTTGGAATTGTGGATGGTGCATAAAAAAATTTGTATATAATTTGTAAAATAATAAAAAGTTGAGATACTAAAATTACAATTATTACTTTTTAATTTTGACATTTTTATTAATTTTAATGCCAAATTTGACAGTAGGGAGTTTTCGCACAAAATATTTCAAATAAAGAGATTTTCTGCAATTTTCAATAGGGAGGGAAGTATATCGAAAATAGAAACGTTTTAAGTGGGGTTTTCAGTTTTCTGCCATTAATCCTTGTTATTTTTCTCTTATTTGAAGAGTAAGTTGGGCCTCAAGGTATCTAACGGCCCAGTCCAAAATTTTGTTTTTAATTTGGTTTCCTTGCAACAATTACGTGCGGAACAATAATCTCGGATTTTTTAAAGAACTTCATGATGGAAACGTACATCTGTTTTCCATTGTCTAAAATCTCATGAGTGTGTGGTTGAAAAGCAATTGTGCATATCCATCTCATAAATTCTTTTAAGTGGAAAATAATATCTTATTAATGTTATTTGTTGGAGGCGAAACGAGATTATGCGGCACGATATGAAATATTGATCACAACTACGGAGCACAAGAAATAAAAATTTAATTTGTCTAAGGAATTGAAAATTGTGTTCACTAATAATACAAAGAGAAATTACAACAACATTGTGCTTCTACCGAATTTTAACTTGCAGTGATAATGAGGTAAAACATTGTTCTAACTATGAAGAGAAACCAATTATATATAGGGATACATATCAAATCCTAATAATAGCCCTAAAGATGGAGACTAAGTCAAAAAATTCGTGGGATAAACAAAACAAAGAAAACTTGAAATGGCGTGACACTCGAGCACCAGCTCGCACCAGTTAGGGATGTAAACGAGTCTAGCTGAAGGGCTCAAATAAAAAATGGCTCAGGTTTTATGGGCCTGAGTTGAGCTGAGCAGAGCCAAAGCTCAACCGAAAAATAATGGCTTGGTTCAGGCTTTCGGCTTAGGCCTTATTGAGCCGAGTCGGCTCTTTTTTTAAGTCGTGAAATTTGAAATTTGCACCTATAGCTAATGCCACGCAATTGTAACTGCAAGCTTTTTGTTAGCAGCTACATCCTGTGTCAATGCTGGTTTGCATCATGCCCCGAAATGAGGCTCGATGGAAACAATTCAAGAGCCAAGCCAGCTCGGACTTTTTTGGGGACAAGTAGCAGGGCGTCCGAGTCTGCAAGTCAAATTTGCATCCTTAGTGCTAGGCAAACTGTAAGCTGGCAATAGCTCGCTACTGAAAATTTCATATCGCCGCTCAAGCGTTTAGCTAACGGTAGACTAACGCCGTCAATCATTTGTTCCTCCATGGATCCTTAGACATCTTCTAGATCCAATACACCAAATCACACAAACCCAAAATTAATTTGGATCACAAACCTTACATTATATAACCCATGTTTATCTAAGATTAAAATTAGATTTTAGTCAACTTTGATAGAAATTGATGAAATATATAATTAAAAAGTTGTGTATTCCATAAAATATGTTGTTAAAATTAATTATTAACTTTAACTTAAATTTTAATCCAAATTTTGAACCACAACAAACAGGGGTACAACGTACCTATACTTCTTTCATTAACCTTTTTATCTTTCAAATTCTTGAAGGATCAACAATGCATAAGACCGATTTAAAAAAGTCATTAAACTTCATTAAATCACTTCAGTTATGATCTGTTTGAGCTCTATTTTTAGTATAGAATGCATTTTATAATATTAGATTGATAGAGAACGTGTGATTAAAAATGAAGGAAAACTTTTTGGATTGAGTGTAATATTATTTTATTGAAAAATGTGGTTAAAAAAATAGAGAAAAATATATTTTTTTAAAAAAAATGAGAATCAAATAAGAGCTAAAAATTCATAATTGAAATCACACGAACTCCTTAGCAGCCGTAAAGCACATTCTTTAGCCAACCATGCTTTACGATAATTGTTATTTATGCCGAACTTCAAACTATTGTTATTATAAATGTTCGAAGGTTTGTAGATTATGTTAGGTTTTAGAACTTCAACATTGTGTCTTCCAATCACCTAGCAACTAGTTTGTCTATCATCTTTATGGTCAGCATCTGATGAACAAGTATGGAGTCATGAATACTTTTGGATTTCCAAAAAG